TGGCTCTCCTCTGGACTCTCTCAAGCTTCTCGACATCCTTGAATTGTGAGCCCAGAATTAGATGCAGTACTCCAGCTGAGGCCTCACCAAGGCCGAGTACAGCAGAAGGATGACATCCTGAGATTTACCTGGGAAACATCTATGGATGCAAGCCAAAGTTTTGTTTGCTTTACCAGCTGTGACATCACATTGGCTTATGTTCATCTTGTGGTCAATCATGACCCCTAATTCTTTCAGCTGTGGTGCTAGCAACTATAGCATTGCGGAGCCTATAAGCATGCTGCAGGTTCCCCCCTGCCCCACCCCGTGGTAGAGTACCTTTTGTTTTTTGGTATTGAACATCATCAGGTTTATATCCGCCCACTTACTAAGCTTATCCAAATCAGCCTGGATCACTAGCTTATCCTCAGGTGTGGATGCTATGCCCCAAAGTTGCGAACTAGGCCGGTGTGCGTCTGACACCATTGTCCACATCGTTGATAAAGATGTTGAAGAGAACCGGTCCAAGGATAGAACCTTGTGGGACGCCAGTGGTCACAGAGCGCCATAATGATTCACTTCCATTGACTACTACTCTCTGGGTTTGACCTCGGAGCCAATTTTCCAGCCATCAGACTGTGGTGTAGCCGAGGCCACAGTTGGCCAATTTTTCCATGAGGAGGTTGTGGGACACCATATCAAAGGCTTTTTTAAAGTCCAGATATATAATGTCAATCTTTTCTCCCTAGTCCAGGTGATATGTCACCTGGTCATAAAAGGAGATGAGCTTGGTCAGGCAAGACCTGCCCATGACAAACCCGTGCTGCCTGTTCCTCAGGATGTTGCCATCAGCCATCTGATCAAGAAGGTTCTCTTTGATAATTTTCTCCAGAATCTTACCAGGGATTGAGGTCAAGCTGATTGGCCTGTAATTCCCAGGATCTACTTTCCACCCTTTCTTGCAGATGGGTACCGCATTGGCCTTCTTTCAGTCTTCAGGTACTTCGCCTGAGCGCCACGAGTTTTTTGAATATTTTCTCCAATCGTTGGGTTACCTGCCAACTCCTTGAGTACTCTAGGGTGTAATCTGTCAGGACCAGCTGACTTAGATGCCCAGCCTCTCAAGGTGTTCCTTTACAAGGTATACACTGGTGCTGGGTGTAAATATGCCCTCACCTTGGTTGTCCCACATCATGCTAGGCAGGGTGGTCCCTTTAGGCTGATGAAAGACTGATGCAAAGTACCCAATAAGCAGGCTGGCTCTTTCCTGGGTGTTATCAGTTGTCCCATTCGGTTCAGCAGGGATCCAGTGTTACCCTGCCTTTTTTCTGGCCCTACATATCTGAAAAAGGACTTTTTATTATCCTTGATATGAGAAGCTAGATGGAGTTCGGTTGCAGTCTTGGCTTTCCTGGTCCACTCCCTGCAGGCACGGACCAGTACTGAGTACTCCTCCTTGGTGGTTATTCCAGCCTTCCATCCTTTAAGTCTCTCTTTTTAAGCATAGGAGGTCCTCAAGTTCCCTGCTGAGCCAAGGGGATTGCTGTGCCCTTTTGCTACCTACCCTTCCATCAAGATGGGATGGACAACCCTTGTGCTGTCAGGATCGCTCCTTTGAGGAGCAACCACTCCTCTTGGACTTCTCTTTCTGTCCCTTAGGACCTCAACAACAAGCCTCCTGAGCTTGTCAAAATCAGCGTTCCTGAAGTCGAGGGCTTCTGCATTGTTGACTGACTTGCCAGCCTTGCGATGGATAGTAAAGGTGATCAGCTGGTGATTACTATCACCCAGCTTCCCACTGATTCTTAGGTCACTGACTAGGTCATCCCCTTTGGCCAGTACCAGGTCCAGCAATGCTTTACCTCTTGTTGGCCCATAGACTTCTTGAGTCAGGTAGAGCTCGTCCACACATGAGGAAGCTTTGCGACTGATCGAATTTGGCCGAGTGCTCTTCCCATGAGATGTCTGGGTAGTTAGTCTCCCATGACAACCATGCACCAAGAGTGTACAGCCTCAGCTAGTTCCCTGGAGAATTTGTGGTCAACCTCTTTGTGGCCATCTATACCCGTGCCCCAGTCTTAGGTGGAGTCTCACCAGGTCTCTGTTATCCCTCTGAGATTGTAGTCTTTCTTGCTTAGCAGGAGGACCAGTTCCTCCTGTTTGTTCCCCAAGCACCTGGCATTGGTATACAGGCACGTAAATGTCCCATTGGAAGCCCTAGGCTTCCTTAGACTCCCAGGCAGACACTGTTCTAGGGTTGGGGTAGGTATGCCCAAACCTGCTGGTTATGCAGTAGTTGCCAAGTGGACTTGCGTTGGCAGTTATCCACCCATTCCCCGGCAGGCTTAGTTTAAAGCCTGGTCGAGCAGGTCAGCCAGTCTGGCTGAGAAGAGCCTCCTCCACAGCGGAGTGAGGTGGAGGCTGTCTCTTCACAGCAGAGCACCACTACCTCTCTCACCAAAGAGCGGACTGTAAGCCTTCACAATGACACCAGCACCACAGTCTCTGGTTGACTACCTCAATCCTCCTCTCCCTCCTCAGCCCAAAGCCCGAAACAGGGAGGATCAAGGAAAACACCACCACCACCACCACCACCACCACCCCTTAAGCCCCACTCCCAGAGCCCTGTAGCACCTCATGACCCGGCTGGGATTGCTCCAAGCCATGTCATTCGTGCCCACCTGGATAAGGAACATAGGGTAGTGGCCAGTGGACTGGATGAGTTTTGGGATCCTCTCGGCCACGTCCCGGCTACGGGCTCCTGGGAAGCAGCAGACCTCCCAGGCTAAGGGGTCGGGGCGGCAGATTGCGTCCTCAGTCCCCCTCAGGAGGGAGTCTCCCACGACAACCACTCTACGAGTGGCCTTAGTGAGAGCAGAGACGGTAGCCGAGAATGAGGCTGCGTTCCCTGCAGGAGCTAATGGACTGGAACAGATTTGTCAGTCAGAAAAGTAGAATGTCTTGCAAAATCTCATATACTTGAGTGGTCTGGATGGATGAGAGCTTTATTTTAAATGGCCAGTATTTGAATCCACTATTTTTGTATGTCAACACAAAACATGCCCATTAAAAAGTGTTAACATGGTATTTAACAGTGGTGCAAACTGTTAGCTGTATGAGAGGATTCATTCCTAGACTAGGGGGGCTTGGAAGTGTTCCAAAGTGAGGTTAAAGCACATACAGGGTCAGCCGAGGATAGAAGAAAGCTTCTCCCTGGTAAGTAAGCACAGAAGTGTCAGACACGCTACAGGAGTCTTGGAAAAAAAACAATCCAAGAAGCAGCTACAAGAAGAAGTCCTTGCTGTGCGTGTGCTGTGAGATTCAAGCTATTTGTTGTTAGAAAATATGCATGATGGCTATATATAAATCCCAGGAAAGGCAAATGATCAGTAACCAAGAAGGTATTTCCAACTGGTAAAAAAAAAAGCAAAACAAAACAACCCCCACCCCCCTCTTATTTATATAATAACTGTATTTGGGAATAGGGCTAAGGGAGCAGATTTTATAGAGTATTGTAACGCTATAAAATTGAGTCATGTGACTACAGTTTTCCAATGTACTCTCTTTAATTAGCAAAATATATTGAGCACAGTCTCCGGCACCCTGTTAGACTAAAGATAGATTTCTGTTAATTAGTGTCTTGCATGTGTACTGCTTTTCATCCTGCCATATCCCAAGGGCCTTTATGTACTTAAACATCACCAATATAGGTCAGAATTTCACCCTCTCACTGGAGTTGATAAGCATTTTGCCATTGCTTTTTTGCAGGGGGAAAAGAACTTTGGCTAGAGATCACTTTTTAAACCACTGGCAAAATGCAACCACCTCTGGATTGGTATGCATCCGGTATTTAAGAGCACACTAAAACACTTGGGACAAGAAAATAGGAGTACTGCACCAAGCCGAAATAACAGAGAATTTTAGGTGACAAAGTCTTAGGTTGCTAGAATTTAGGTGGTAAATATATTTGAGACATATATGGTGACAAACTGTCACCATACTTCCACCCTGTGTAAAAAATCTCCGCCATCATGGTGCCTCCTGTGCTCTGCAGAGCACTTTTATTCAGAATTGGCTTTGAGTGAGCCCCACCTATTGACCACTCTTTCCTGCCAGTACTTACGCACCCTTTTGAAAGTCTCCCATCTACGAATTGCATCAGCTTATCCCAAGAGCAGTAAAGTAACCAAGAATAAGGTATGGACGCATGTGACTGTAATGGTTTACACCAGTGGTGTCAAACATATGGTCCCCTGGGCCGCTGGAAGTTGGGGAGTGTAGGACTGTTGGTGGCAAGTCTGCTTCACTACCATCACCCATGGTCCCCTCCCACTGCCAGCAGACCCTTGCTGCTGGTCCCCTTGCTGTTGATGGAGCTGTTGTGGTGGCTATGACAGCAGCCCTTGTGTCCTGGGCTGCATCCAGTCCATGAGGAACCTGCAGTTTGCATCTGGCCTGGGGTCCCAGGTAAGTTTGGCACCCCTGGCTTAAATAATTGTACTGCTTTAGTGTATAGAGCACAAAAGTGTAGAAATCAAATTCTTGCCCTGAAGAGAGAATACTACATACATGACTATGGACAATTAATGGACACATACAGAATCATAGCAAATTAAGGTTGGAAGGGACCACAGGAAGTCATAACCTTTTTGAAGAAAAGGGCAACCCAGGATCTACTGCCTCCCTGTCCGCCCCACCTCCCGTCCCAGCAGGTCAGTGGGGACAGTGCAGAGGGAGGAGGCAGATTAAGGTCATACTGGGGCCCTAGGCAAGCACAAAATTGCAGCCCCCCCCCTCCCCACATGGGAGCTGGGTGGCAAGGGGGGAGAGGGGCCCCTTCCCCTCCTAGTGCTGGTGAGGAGAAGCTGAGTGGACCCTGCCAGGCTGAGGGGCACATGCCTGCCTCATCTCCCTGATCCTGCGACAGCCAAAT